ATTTAGATAAAGAAAAATTGGATATCAAATTGGGGAGCAGGAGTATGGAAGAAGTGAATGTTTTCAGATACTTGGGAGTTGACGTGTCGGGGATGGATTTATGAAGGATGAGGTTTAATCATAGAATGATGAGGGAAAAAAGGTGAGTGGTGCGTTGAGGTATATGTGGAGTCAAAAAACATTATCTATGGAGGCAAAGAAGGGAATGTATGAAAGTATAGGAGAAGGTGTGGAGTTAATAAAAGTATTAGTCAGAGGGCTGAAGAGGGGTTGTTGAGGTGGTTTGGTTATTTAGAGAGAATGGATCAAAGTAGAATGACATGGAGAGCATTTAAATCTATAGGGGAAGGAAGGCGGATAGCGGGGTCGTCCTCGAAAGGTTGAAGGTAGGGGGAAGGGAAGTTTTGTGGGCGAAGGGGCTTGGACTTCCAGCAGGCGTGCGTGAGCGTGTTCGATAGAGTGATGGAGACGAATGGTATTGGGATCTGACGATCTGTTAGAGTTGTGAGCAGGTAATAATTTAGTGAAGGGATTCAGGGAAACGGTTATTTTTATATTGTCGGACTTGAGTCATGGAAAATGGGAAGTACAATTGCATGCACTTTAAAGGAGGGGGGTGTTTGGGATATTGGCAGTTTGGAGGGGATATGTTTTGACATCTTATATGTGTTTGATTTCTAAGACTGTTTGTGTTCTGAGCACCTCTGCAAAAAACAGTGTTTAATGTGTGAGTGTGGTGGAAGAGTGAATGATGATGAAAGTATTTTTCTTTTTGAGGTTTTTCTTTCTTTTTGGGTCACCCTGCCTCGGTGGGAGACGGCCGACTTGTTAAAATATATATATTTATTATATATATATCTTTATCTACTATATTATATATCTATAGTATTTATATATATCATATATATCATAATATATATGTAGGTTGTAGGTTGGTATGAACAGCAAAAGTCCAGGGAGGGGAGGTACTATCTGTCCTGCCAAAGTGACGGTGTTAAAACGAAAGCCTGTGTGATTGTTTTACACTGATGGTGGTTTGCTGATGTACTTTTGTCTGCTTCTCCATAAATATGCAAGTTTACAGGGATGTCTTGCTATTTCTACTTACCTTTGTCACACTACAAATACATGTACACATTTATTTATACCACAAATCATCTGAGTTTTTCTTTGATTTTATCTTAAGAGTTCTTGGTCTTCATAATTTTCTTTTATATCCATGGGGAAGTGGAGAATAAGAATCTTTCTCCGGAAGCCATGCGTGTTGTAAAAGTCAAACTAAAATGCCTGGGAACAATGGGCTCAGTTAACCCCTTTTCCTGATTAAAGATTACTAAAAAGAATAAGAAGAAGAAAATTGTCAATGTGGAAGTCTGGAATGTGCGTGGATGTTGATGCAGATGTTAAGAAAGAGATGATTGTGGATGTTATGAATGAGAAGAAAACTGGATGTCCTGGCTATTAGTGAAACAAAGCTGAAGGGGGTGGGAGAGTTTAAGTGGTGATGAATACATGGGATTAGGTAAGGGTTTTAAAATAGAGTTAGAGCTAAAGAAGGTGTAGCATAATGTTGAAGGATAGCTATGGCAGGAAAAAGGGGACTATAATGTATTAATCAAGGATTTTGTGGAGTAAAAATAAGATTGGATGTGAAAAGTGGGTTTTATAATAAGAGTGTATGCACCTGGAGAAGAGAGAAGTGTAGAGGAGAGAGAGAGATTTTGGGGAAAAAAATGTTGATGAATGCGGGGGGAGTTTTGAGTCAGTGGAGAGAATGGTGTTGGGGGTTTCAAGCAAAAAGGGGTAAAAACGTTATGGAGGGAGTAGGAAAATTTGGGGGGGGCGAGGGGTAAATGTAAAGGGGAGCCTTTAATTGAGCTATGTGTAGAAAAAAATTTGGTAAAAAGTAATAATTTTTTATGAAAAAGGGGTTAAATAAAAACAAGGATGTGTAGAGTAATAAAAGTAGTTTTTAGTTTATGTTTTGGTGGATAAAAGGTAGGGTGGGGCCAGGATGTACATGTTTAGAGGGGCAATTTTATATATGGGATCATTATTTAGTTGTAGCTCATTTGGGGTTAAGGGGTAGAGGGGAAAAAAGGGGAAAAGGTGGCAACAAAAGAAAGAGGGGGGTAAAAAGTGTTAAATAAGGGAGGGGGAAAGTTCGGGTGAGTATAACGACTTTGGCAGAAAGGTGGGCTAGTGCAAAGATGAGTAGGGGGGGGGTTAAAGGGGGTTGGAATATTTTTAAAAAAATGCAGTATTAAATGTGGGGCAGAATTTTTGGTTATAGGAGGGTGGGGCAGGGGGAAAGAGGAGTGTTTGGGGGGAAAAAGAAGTAAAGGGTGTGAAAAAGAAAAAAAGGTAGCTTATCAGGGTTTTTTACAAAGCAGAAGTTTTTTAAGAAGAGCAGAGTAAGGGGAAAGTAAAAAAAGGGAAAAAGAGAGGGGTGAGAGAGTGCAAAAGGAGGCAGTGTGGTGGGGAGGCACTTCAAGAAATTTTAATGAAAAAAAAAAAATTTTGGATGAGTTAAACAAGTTAAAAAACCCTGGGGAAATAGGATTTGTCTTTAAAAACAGGTGGGGAGTTGTAAGGGGGAATGGGGTTTTGGGGAAATGGGAGAATATTTTGAGGAAACTTTTAAATTTTAAAGGGAAGAAAAAAAGCATTAATTTCATGCATGGTCAGGAGGTATACCATTTTTAGGAGTAAAAAGACAAATGTAAGTGTGGGGGGTACGGAGGCATTACGAAAAATGAAAGGGGTTTTAAAAGCACTGGAATGAGGGGATCTGACAGAAATGTTAAAAGGGGGGGGGTATGTTTTGGAGTGGTTGGTATTTTTTGTTTAAAATGTATAAAAGAGGGGAAGGACCGGGAATTGGGGGAGAGCGTATAGCCCCTTATAAAAAGGGAAAAGGGGAAAAAAGAGACTGTAAAAATTTAGAGGAATAAGCTTCGGGTATACAGGAAAAGTGTAGGGTGGGTTATAATTGAAAGAATTAGGGGTAAGACGAAGGGGATTGGGGAAAGAGAAAAGGGGTTTCAGAGGGGGTGGGGGATGTGTAGATAAAGTGTTTACTTGAAGCATATATGTGAACGTTTTAGAAAAAAGGTAGGGAAGTTTTTATTGCTTTTATGGATTTAAAAAAGGCTATGAAAAGGTGGATAGGGAGCAATGGGGCAATGGAAAGTTTTGGGAAAAAGGTGAAGTTATTAAATGCTTAAGTTTTTTATGGGAGTGAGGTCAGGTTAGGGTTTGTAAAAGAGGGGGAGACTATTTCCCCGGGAAAAAGTAGGCTTAGACGGGGTGTGAAATGTCACCATGGTTGTTTAATATATTTATAGATGGGGTTGTAAAGGAAGTAAGGCTAGGGTGTTCGGGAGAGGGGTGGGATTAAAATTTTTGGGGGAAACAAATTCAAAAAAGGGAAATTTCACAGTTTCTTTTTTTCGATGTTTCTGTGCTTATGGGGGATTCTAAAAAAAAATTGCAAAGGTTAGTGGATGAGTTTGGGAATGTGTTAAAGGTAGAAAGTTGAAAGTGAAAAGAAAAGAGTTAGGGGATGAGGGTGTCAAATATTTAGATAAAGAAAAATTGGATATCAAATTGGGGGGGGAGTTGGAAGAAGTGAATGTTTTCCCCGAATTGGGAGTTGCGTGTCGGCGGATGGATTTTATGAAGGATGAGGGTTTAAACATAGAATTGATGAGGGAAAAAAAAGGTGAGTGGGGCGTTGAGGGAATGTGGATCAAAAAACGTTATTATGGAGGCAAAGAAGGGAATGTTGAAAGTATAGAGTACCAACATCTTATATGGGTGTGAAGCTTGGGTGGTAAATGCAGCAGCGAGGGGACGGTTGGGGCAGTGGAGATGTCCTGTTTTGGGGAATGTGTGGGGTAAATATTATGCGAAAATTCGGAGTGTAGAAATTTGGAGGTGTGGAGTTTAAAAAAAGTATTAGTCAGAGGGCAGGGAAAAAGGGGTTGTTGAGGTGGTTTGGTCATTTAGAGAGAATGGCAAAAGAGAAGAAAAGGAAAGCATATAAAACTATAGGGGGAAAGGAAGGGGGGTAGGGGTGTCCCCGAAAGGGTTGGAGAGGGGGGTTTTAAAAGGGGGTTTTTTTGGGCAAGGGGGTTGGACTTCCCGCAAGCGTGCGTGAGCGTGTTAGATAGGAGTGAAAAAGGAGAGAATGGACTTGGGGCCTGACGATCTTTGGGTGTGAGCAGGGTAATTTTAGTGAAGGGATTTCAGGGAAACCCTTATTTTATTTTCGGACTTGAGTTGGAATGAGAAGTACAATGCCTGCACTTTAAAGGAGGGTTTGGGTTTTTGGGAGTTTGGAGGGGTATGTTGTGTAATCTTTATATGTGTATGCTTCTAGACTGTTGTATTCTGAGCACCTCTGCAAAAACAGTGATAATGTGCGAGTGTGGTGAAAGTGTTGAATGATGATGAAAGTATTTTCTTTTTGGGGATTTTCTTTCTTTTTTGGGTCACCCTGCCTCGGTGGGAGACGGCCGACTTGTTGAAATTATATATATATATATATATATATATATATATATATATATAATATATATATATATATATATATATATATATATATATATATATATATATATATATATTTATATATATATATGCATAAGATCACAGTAAACAGGTGATTTCAGAATATGCAAACAACCAATGTGAAAGAATTGAGAAAATCCAAGCGTTTTCGTGACTACTCACATTATCAAGGAACAGTGTTCTTTGATAATGTGAGTAGTCACGAATGCGCTTGGAATTTCTCTATTCTTTCACAGTGGTTGTTTTGCATATATATATATAATATATATATATATATATATATATATATATATATATTATATATATATAATATATATATATATATATATATAAATATATATATATAATAAATATATATTCAATATATATATATATAAATGCAAAATAAGTCGTAATGCCATGAAGATCACAAACCTCTCAGCCACAGTAGGGAGTACCCATGGGCATAGGCGAGTCATCGACGACCCAAGACCAGTTGATTGTGTCCAAATCAAAGCGTCCACCGATCCAGTAATCGCCGTCAGTACTGAAACAGTGATAGAACATCCAGTAAAGCCTTCCCAGATGTATTATAAAAAATCATAATTTTTAACTATATATTTGTGTTATTGTGATTATTATTATATATTAGTGGTATTATTGCATTCAAGGAGATACCCTGAACCGGCCACACAACATGAGGAGAATGGGAGGTAATTAAGATAGATTCTATTCTGTTGACCTTAGAGAGCCTTTCCCAGCGTTACTTCTCAACCCTTGAAGAGTGAAGCCATGTGATTGCTACATTAAAGTAACAACTATAGAAAAGTAAATAAGTAACAACAGCAGTGAGTCGATCCCCGGTACGGATGTAAACATTAGGACGTGTTTCCTTAAGACACCTGCTGTCCATGCTCAACTAGCAGTAAAATAGGTACCTGGGTGTTAGTTTACTGGTGTGGGTCGCATCCTGGGACAAAATTGACCTAATTTGCGGGAAATGCTCAGCATAACAAGCGGCTTCCTATATAGTAGTTTGTCACTGATGTGAGTTATGGTCTGTATACCTTGTACATGTACTGGGAGTAATAAAAGATTATTATTATTATTATTAAAGGGATACTACATAAGTAACAGTGCATGGATAAGTAACATAAACCAGCATCATGTGAGTGTATAATGTTACTGCTACTTGTTACATGGATAAGTAGCCAAAAACCAGCATCAAGGAGTGTAATAAATACTGCTACTTACCATGGTATAAGTTAACATAAACCAGCATCATGGGAGTGTATATACTGCAACTGACAATGGATAATAACATAAACCAGCATCATGGAGTGTATAATACTGCTACTTACATGGATAAGTAACATAAACCAGCATCATGGAGTGTATAATACTGCTACTTACATGGATAAGTAACATAAACCAGCATCATGGAGTGTATAATACTGCTACTTACATGGATAAGTAACATAAACCAGCATCATGGAGTGTATAATACTGCTACTTACATGGATAAGTAACATAACCCAGCATCATGGAGTGTATAATACTGCTACTTACATGGATAAGTAACAAACCAGCATCATGGAGTGTATAATACTGCTACTTACATGGATAAGTAACATAAACCAGCATCATGGAGTGTATAATACTGCTACTTACATGGATAAGTAACAAACCAGCATCATGCGTGTATAATACAGCTACTTACTGGATAAGTAAAAAAAAACCGCATCAGGAGGAAAAATACTGCTACTTCATGGATAATAACAAAAAACCAGCATCAGGGGGTTTAAATTATGCAATTTACTGGATTAAAAAAAGTCAGGAGTGTAAAAAAATGATTTTACATGGTAAGAAACATAAACAGCACGGGAGTGTAAAATCTTCTACTTACATGGATAAGTAACAAAAACCCGCATCAGGAGTGTATAATACTGTTATTCAGGATAAGTAACCAAACCGCATCAGGAGTGTATATCTGTACTTACAGGATAAAAAAACAAAAACCAGCATCGGATGATAAATTGTACTTAATGGATAAGTAACCAAACCAGCATCAGGATGTATATATGTTTCATGGATAAGTAACATAAACCCCACACGGGAGGTATAATATGTACTTACATGGATGTAACACAAACCCTCAGAGGTATAATAGCTACTTACAGGATAGAAACCCAAAAACCCCACTCAGGAGTGTTAATATGTACTTACATGGTAAGAACATAACCAGCATCATGGAGTGTATAATACTGTACTTAATGGTAAGTAACATAAACCGCATATGGAGTGTATAATACTGCTATTACATGGAAAAGTAACATCCCCCGCATCATGGAGTTTAATATGTTTTTTAAAAACCATGTAACGTTTTTTTCACTGAAAAAATCATTGTTCAAAATGTTTAAGTTCCATAGTTGTAAAAAAACAGTTTATGTTTTGTTGTAAATTCTACATATACCGGGCTTCGGGTTAACCCCCCGGGTTCCCGGGTCTTGACCAGGCCCCGGTAAATTAGGGCCTGATAAACCAGGTTGTTACTGTTCGCCACACGAAACCAAGACAAACCACACCCCGGGCGGGTCGGGTCTGCTTTTTGTCCCTGCCCACACTTTTGAAACAGCCAGGGTTTTATTGGAAATTTCCCCTTTTGGGTTGCGGGGGGCAGTTAACGTCTTGGGCCCTGACATTTATTGTTTTGTCTCTTGCGTATTCTTTGGGAGTGTTTAAATATATTTAATATATATATAAATATTTATATATATATATATATTTTATGTCGTAAAGGGTTCTGAAGGAGATTTCGTGGAAAAGGGGTAGACAACTTGTAGGTGGGGTGTTTGTAAAACTGAGATGAGAGATGGAGCCCTGCCAACCCCTGTTCACGCACTGTATTTGCCCCAGTAGACCGGGACAGGGGGCCCTCCCCATGGAATCCCTATGACGTCACTCCAAGCAAAGGTACGAGGGATCTCTGTCTAAAGCACATGGAGGATCAATTGCTATGTTAAAATACAGGGAATACGGGGCCCCAAAATATGTGACAGCTGGGTATGTTAGTATGCTCCCGACATACACTACTATCTATGGGCCTAACGGCAGGCGGTTTGGGTGATTCTTCAAAACAAATGCATAAAATTAAAACTAATGGATGGTACAACATGATTTTGACTAATGGGTTTTAAACGTAATAAATACAAACTATAAGTAAAAAATCTTTTATAAAATAGGATGGAATTGAGATCGATTGTATTCATGCTTACGATTTGGGAAAATTTTATATACAAAGAAGTTTTTAAAACAGAAAGGGATTGGGGTGCCCCAAAAATCAGACTGTTAATTCTCAAATACGGGGGGGAAACGTGAACACGAAAATTTTGAAAAACGATCAGCAAATAATAAACACAAACAGTTGACAATTTCTTTTCACTCGGACATCTAATTATCAGGCTTTTACACTTAAACCCCAATTCTGCGAGGGTGAGGTTTTAAAGTATGCAGATGGTTATCATTCTGGGAGGATCAAATTTCCCTCTGCAATGGCAAAACCTGCTTGACGAGAGAAGCTGAACGAGTATTAAAAAATAAACTCAATCATAGTGATGTGGAATTTAAAATTTTCATTGCTAGGAGTACTCAACTCAAAAATTCGATACAGTAATTTTTGGGTCATACAAGCAAAATGGATGCTGGGGCTTCACAAAAAGAAAAAGTTTTCCTGGAGCAGGAATGAATCCACCAAACACAAGGGTCGTCTTTGTGCGTTTTGACATCCCGACATAAATGGGGGAAAATCTGCAGCAACTACACTAAGGGTTTTTTTCGCGATAAACATCTGCGACTACATTCGATTTGCCGGAAAAATGTTCAAAAGGGGATTGAATTTTTGGATAGGGGGGACCATTGGTAACCTTCCGTAGGCTGTTTTTTCTGGAAAAAAAAGTAAAGTTTTTCCCTACGGAGGAAAGAACAAACCGGGTGGAGGGAGACCCCCCCGGGAAAAAAATTTAATCATAACACGCAATATGAGAAGGGGAGAACGAATCACTATCTCAACTGAAAACACGGAAAAAAAAATGAACACGGTAAAAACAATGCTGATATTCAATCTGAGTCGCAACAGTGACCGAGGTTCGCTAAAAAGAACTACATTACGTTAATATTAAAAGTTATTCGAAAAAATAAACTTCTTCGATGCAAAGATTACTGTCAATAGGGTTTTGGGGTCACCATCTGGAACATAGAACAACAAACAGACCTCTAGTGAGAGCATAGCTGTAACAGAGGGGTCTTTTTGCGAAGCATGTCACATCAAAAAAGAGATGATTATAGTTGCAAAAATCGTTTTTTGAAAAGGGATCCCCTGGGAGAAAACTATACTCGAACTAGCAGTCATTGAGGGGTAGGGGTGCACTAAAGGAGTTGAGTGTCCGGACACTTGAGGAAAGGGAAAACTATCCCGCAAGTCTGAAGGTTAGGTGGAACACAGACGGGGAAAAGACAAAATTTTGTCCTGACCGCTGGTTTGTTAATAAGTAATTCCGGATCTTTAAAAACCCAAAATTTAACTTCACTTTTCCCGCACTTTAACAAATCTCAGATACAAGCTGTTGGAAAAACAATTGTCAAGGGTGGGAGGTCTTTCAGTCATAAGGGGAAGTTGGTACTGTGGACGATTTTATTTATTTGACTGGATGATACATAATGGGAAGTTAAAAAATGACTGGGGGGCATCTTTGTGAAAAAAAACTAAGGGCATAAGTCAAAAAAAAGGGAGGAAAGACACGAAGCTTAAATGGAAAAAAAATGAAAAATATTTGCATAAATAATTAAAAATTGACAATTACCAGTAAGAAAGAACTACACAAAAAAATATGCAACTTAAAAAACATAAAATCAAGAGAACTTGTACTTTGCTCAAATCTAATTTTGCTCAACTTTTTTCTTTAAATTGAATAAAGGCACGTGAGTTGTTTTTTACTTTCAATCAACAAGGAAAAAAAAACAAAAAATAATAAAAGGGGCTCAATAAAATTTTGCAAAAATTAAACAAACACACAATTCGTTGAAAAAAAAATTAAAAGGGCAGACAGAATAAAATACTATGCACAGAAAGGCATAAGAAAAAGCATGTAATAAATGATTGCAAACACTGATAAAAAAATTCCCGCAAAAAAAACTTTATAGCAACACAAAATTTTCACAAAAAATTTTGCAAAATGAGCTTGTGCAAAAATAAAAATTATACACACAAGAAAGAAATATATCAAGGAATGAAAATTTAACTCTTAATGCACTTTAAAAAACAAACAAAAGAACAATTTATTTAGAAAGGGGAACTTTTAAAAAAGCACTAAGAAATGAAAATTTGTTTCAATAAAATTAAAAAAAAAATAGGTGCAAAAAAACATAACAAAACAGGGGTTGGGGAAAACTTTAAATGTGAGAAACTCAACATACACCAATACTAGAATTTTTTTGCAATGAAAAATGATGTTTTAAAAAAAATTTTTTAAAAAAAATTTTTTGCTGGGGGTTTAAAAAGGCATATTGTCTGTGGAAAAAAGACAAATTAAAAATGGTGAATAAAGGAATATGACCAAGAATGTTTAACACACAGGAAAAAAACAAAAAAACAAAATTTTAGGAAGAAAAAAAAAAAAGACAACATGATTTTTGATGCAGAATATGAGGTGAAAAAATTTTTCTGAGTTAATTTATGAAATTGAAGTTTAAACACAGTTCTTACGCTCAAAATGTTGCACACACACAAAGGAACACTAAGTATTACTTCAAGTGTGTATAAAAAGAAACACAAAACAAAGAATAAAATAATGCACGAAAATTAAAATGAATTTAAAGGGGATTAAAAAAATGAATGCAAACAGTACATGATAAACACTGAGTCGATAAGGTCCGAATGTCACTACGAGAAAAAAACATGGGAACACAAAAAAATGTCTCAAAATTTGCAAAAGCTTAAAAAAAAATATTTGCGTAACACTTGAAAAAAAAAGGTGATGGATTGTTTTTATCGTCTTGCTGCTGTCCTCGCACAGAGATGTTTTGAATTGGTTAAAAAAGGCGAGAGACAAACCCCAAAGGGGCTTTTTAAAATGGGGACACACTTAGTCTTTACCCCCTATGGGCCCTTTAAAAAATGGTGCCAACCCCTTTGCAGTCACCCAAAAAATGTTAGGGGAGGAGTTGAATGGCCGACTTTAGTTGGGTTTGTGGGTAATGGTGAGCGAGGCGTTGAGACCCGGGAAAGGGCGCACACGGATCGTGAGTGGCTGGGGTTAGGGTTGAACGTCGTAAGCCCCATGAGAAAACCACAGCGCAAAGATAATTTTAAGCCGACTTGTTAAAAATAAACCCACGAAATATACAACACCACAAGGTGACAAGGGCACTCAGAAGTTTGGGGGCTTTAATACAACGATTTAAAATAGTCAGTGGGTTTCCTGATACTGGGGAAGACACCTGGGTTATTGCTAGTGGCTTATTTAACCCTTCACACAGAATAGTTGATAACTTACCGAGGAGCACAGAGGGGGGGAAGTGGTTGGAGGCAAATAATTGGGGTGGAGTAGGCACTGGGGGTGGGTGGTGTTCTGACTCCCCCCACAGACTGGAAGTGGTTTTTTGCAAATCGGGTAACCCCCCCGGGAGTAATGCAAAAAAAAACAGTAACACTAATACAAAAAGATGACCAGTGAATAATGTGAATGGGAGAGTTGCTGGCTTGAGGTAGCTGGATGGGGTAACCTCGGTAGGGCCCACTGGGAACACAAATGGCCTCTTTCTGGGCGACAATTTTTCTCCCCGAAAACGCTGTAAACGTCGTTACGGGGCACCGTGTCACCTTTGCGAAGGGGGGTTTTTGAATGGGATTTCGTAGGATAAGGTGACACACTTGTAGAAGGTAGGTGTTTGTCAGATGGATGAGAGTGGACCCGGTGCCCAAACCTGTTCACGCCACTGTAGGGCGCCCCCGGTGAGACCGGGAAGAGGGTCATGCCCATGTGAATCCCCATGGTCACTCCAAGCCAAAAAGGTAAAGGGGTTGTGTTAAAGCACTGGAGGATAAAATTTGCATGCTATTAATACGGGAAAACGGGTCAGAAAAAATGTGACATATATATAATATATTATATTATATTTTATATAGTATTATAACTACGAACAAGTTGTATTTAATGAATAACAACACTGCAACTAGCCTGGGGATCGAACCCGTTTTCTTTTAGCCCACTTCATGGTGAATGAAAATTTACGACGCTCTAACCCACGGGACCATACAATCCTACAAGAGTCAAGCACCCAGCAGAGCTAGGTGCTGCACCATGATCCGAGGACACACGATAGTGTGGGTGCCTCAGAGATAATTTCATTCTACTCCCCGTTTGGTGTACTAGCCTCCACAAGCAGTATATATATTATTATAACCACGAACGAGTGGTATTTACTCAATAACAACAATTGCAAACATTGGCTACTAAACGGTCAGAAATTTATAAAAATAACCAATACTGATTTGATCTCGAGAATTTAGATATCTTATCACTGACAATGAGGTGACTATTTCCTGTTTTGATTGCTTGGAGTTAAACTCTTAACAGTTAGATATAAGAACACCTGACGTTAAAAGTACTTTCACCGCGCAGACGAAACGTTTAAGTATCATACTTAAACGATAGGCCAGTAGGTCCCCTGCAGTGCTCAGATTCACTTTCGACTATCATTACTTACACGTAAACCCATGAGACTCCCTGGGGACTGTATAACTATTGTCTCTCATGTCTCTTGTGTACTTAAACCCATCGATGACCGAAACGTGCCCGTAAAGGACTCCTGCGTTATTTTCCACCAGCTGCCGACATGTTGACATTGTTTTCAACGTTATTAAAACAAAAATAATAATATTATTATTATTATTATTATTATTATTAGTAGTAGTAGTAGTAGTAGTAGTAGAGATAGTCATAACACTTGTACTAGTACCATAATAGTAGGAGTAAGAGCGGTAGTAATACTCAACAAACAAGTCAGAATATGCTTACATGATTTCTTCATGTAGTCGATTAGCTGAATATATGTTGAGCCCTGGTTGAAGGAGAAGAGATCACCATAGATGGCGTGGCAGAACTGTCTGGCCTCCGCCCACGCCACCTGCACGCCCAACATTATTATTATCTTTAACTATGAAAGGAAAATGTAAATCATGATTCACGAAATCGTAATAACACGACAAACCAGGGAACGGTTGGGGTTTGAACCCAAGGCCAGTAAGTCGTAAAACTGACAGGCCAGTGCGTTAACCACTAGGCCAACGGACTACAATGAGATACATGCTGGTTTTTACAGGTGAATCCTGGTTTAGCGCTTTCTTTAATTATAATAATAATACAGGTGAATCCCACACCAGCCTGGGTGTGGACAACAGCATCTGTGGTCACAGTGGTGGCCTATGCTAACCTCCCTAGGGTGTACAGAAATATACCTAGTTGGATGAATCTTATTAGAGGCAGCTGGTAGAGTTGTTAACGCACTGGCCTGTGACTTTTAAGACTCACTCGCCATAGGTTCAAAACCCCACCAGTTTCCTGGCTTAAAATGAACAGTAGTACAATGACAGTGCTTATTAGTGATTTTACTTCCAGTTATTGCAGCAGTGACTGACAGTGATAGTTGAAGTGTATGGTAATTATGGCAACAATGATAGTACTGTAGCTCTAAATCCCTGGATCAAGAACCCCTTACTGGCGACGAGTCACCAACCTTGAAGGGTTCTCATTATTTTTATTTATGTAACGAAGCAAAATCATCGGACATGTAATCAAAATATCTTCTGGGTCTTTAAGGACGGGGGAGAGGGAAAAAAATATTCAGAATATATTGATTACTTTTTGAAACATGGATAGCGAATAAACTTTCTACCACTACTGACCTTAGCCGGGGAGAAGAATGCCAGACAAAGGTTCCCAACTCTGGTGTACAACATGGGACACTTTGGAAATGTGTCGCTGAGTGAGTTGATGCTGCTGAGAGTGTTGTTCACCGCTGACCCCAGCAGCTCTGCCATCTCTGCGGCTGAGCAAATTCCTGTTAGTCCCTAGATTTGGAACCTTATCGACTGCAGGTGTGCCATTAAGAAGCACGGAAGCTCCTCCGTCTTATAATAACACGTTCATAAATTAGACACATGTGCAACTCTTGGGTATCTTGGGCACGACCTACTTCCACATTGAACAAATGTGACACGACCTATGACTTCTACACCTCTCCTGCCATACGGTTTATAAGCTGCCTCTCCGCTGATATGCCGTATTCTATTCAAGATTGATGGACTGAATACATCGACTCAAGGTTGAGGGACTGTTTACCTCATTCTCCTCCTGTTCTTCAAGTTTCTCCTACGTATGGACTGATGAAGCCACTGTGTGGCGAAACGTTTCCTCAATAAAGATACCCAAGAGTTGCACACGTGTCTAATTTATCAACATGTCGGTTCTCTGAACCATTCATCTACAAATAACACGTTCATTTTTCCACTATAATCTACCTTGTCCATAATTACTATTGCATTTGCTTTGTCTGTTTCGTAAGGTGAAGTCCAGGATCTTTCTTTAATTCATGGTATAACTTAACAATTGTCTTAGAGATTTGTTAAGTTATACCATGAATTAAGGAAAGATCCTGGACTTCACCTTACGAAACACACAAAGCAAATGCAATAGTAATTATGGACAAGGTAGATTATAGTGGAAAAAATATGGACATGTTATTAGAAGATGGGGGAACTTATGTGCCTCTTAAGGATGCAACTCACGTGTACAATAATTTGTGTTACGATTTAATCCTTAAGTCTGTTGCAGTAACTGTGACATGACCAAGTGTGAGGCTGTTGCAGTAACTGTGACATGACCAAGTGTGAGGCTGTTGCAGTAACTGTGACATGACCAAGTGTGAGTCTGTTGCAGTAACTGTGACATGACCAAGTGTGAGGCTGTTGCAGTAACTGTGACATGGCCAAGTGTGAGGCTGTTGTAGTAACTGTGACATGACCAAGTGTGAGCCTGTTGCAGTAACTGTGACATGACCAAGTGTGAGTCTGTTGCAGTAACTGTGACGTGACCAAGTGTGAGTCTGTTGCAGTAACTGTGACGTGACCAAGTGTGAGCTTGTTGCAGTAACTGTGACGTGACCAAGTGTGAGTCTGTTGCAGTAACTGTGACGTGACCAAGTGTGAGCCTGTTGCAGTAACTGTGACATGACCAAGTGTGAGCCTGTTGCAGTAACTGTGACATGACCAAGTGTGAGCCTGTTGCAGTAACTGTGACATGACCAAGTGTGAGTCTGTTGCAGTAACTGTGACGTGACCAAGTGTGAGTCTGTTGCAGTAACTGTGATGTGACCAAGTGTGAGCCTGTTGCAGTAACTGTGACGTGACAAGTGTGAGTCTGTTGCAGTAACTGTGACGTGACAAGTGTGAGCCTGTTGTAGTAACTGTGACATGACCAAGTGTGAGCCTGTTGCAGTAACTGTGACATGACCAAGTGTGAGCCTGTTGCAGTAACTGTACATGACCAAGTGTGAGTCTGTTGCAGTAACTGAACGTGACCAAGTGTGAGTCTGTTGCAGTAACTGTGACGTGACCAAGTGTGAGCCTGTTGCAGTAACTGTGACGTGACCAAGTGTGAGTCTGTTGCAGTAACTGTGACGTGACCAAGTGTGAGCCTGTTGCAGTAACTGTGACATGACCAAGTGTGAGCCTGTTGCAGTAACTGTGACATGACCAAGTGTGAGCCTGTTGCAGTAACTGTGACATGACCAAGTGTGAGCCTGTTGCAGTAACTGTGACATGACCAAGTGTGAGCCTGTTGCAGTAACTGTGACATGACCAAGTGTGAGTCTGTTGCAGTAACTGTGACGTGACCAAGTGTGAGTCTGTTGCAGTAACTGTGACGTGACCAAGTGTGAGCTGTTGCAGTAACTGTGACGTGACAAGTGTGAGTCTGTTGCAGTAACTGTGACGTGACCAAGTGTGAGCCTGTTGCAGTAACTGTGACATGACCAAGTGTGAGCCTGTTGCAGTAACTGTGACATGACCAAGTGTGAGCCTGTTGCAGTAACTGTGACATGACCAATGTGTGAGCCTGTTGCAGTAACTGTGACATGACCAAGTGTGAGCCTGTTGCAGTAACTGTGACGTGACCAAGTGTGAGGCCTGTTGCAGTAACTGTGACGTGACCAAGTGTGAGTCTGTTGCAGTAACTGTGACGTGACCAAGTGTGAGCCTGTTGCAGTAACTGTGACATGACCAAGTGTGAGCTGTTGCAGTAACTGTGACGTGACCAAGTGTGAGCCTGTTGCAGTAACTGTGACATGACCAAGTGTGAGCCTGTTGCAGTAACTGTGACGTGACCAAGTGTGAGCCTGTTGCAGTAACTGTGACGTGACCAAGTGTGAGCCTGTTGCAGTAACTGTGACGTGACCAAGTGTGAGCCTGTTGCAGTAACTGTGACATGACCAAGTGTGAGCCTGTTGCAGTAACTGTGACGTGACCAAGTGTGAGCCTGTTGCAGTAACTGTGACGTGACCAAGTGTGAGCCTGTTGCAGTAACTGTGGCATGACCAAGTGTGAGTCTGTTGCAGTAACTGTGACATGACCAAGTGTGAGCCTGTTGCAGTAACTGTGACATGACCAAGTGTGAGTCTGTTGCAGTAACTGTGACATGACCAAGTGTGAGTCTGTTGCAGTAACTGTGACATGACCAAGTGTGAGTCTGTTGCAGTAACTGTGACATGACAAGTGTGAGGCTGTTGCAGTAACTGTGACATGACCAAGTGTGAGTCTGTTGCAGTAACTGTGACATGACCAAGTGTGAGTCTGTTGCAGTAACTGTGACATGACCAAGTGTGAGTCTGTTGCAGTAACTGTGGCATGACCAAGTGTGAGTCTGTTGCAGTAACTGTGACATGACCAAGTGTGAGCCTGTTGCAGTAACTGTGACATGACCAAGTGTGAGTCTGTTGCAGTAACTGTGACATGACCAGTGTGAGCCTGTTGCAGTAACTGTGACATGACCAAGTGTGAGTCTGTTGCAGTAACTGTGACGTGACCAAGTGTGAGCCTGTTGCAGTAACTGTGACATGACCAAGTGTGAGTCTGTTGCAGTAAACTGTGACATGACCAAGTGTGAGCCTGTTGCAGTAACTGTGACATGACCAAGTGTGAGTCTGTTGCAGTAACTGTGACATGACCAAGTGTGAGCCTGTTGCAGTAACTGTGACATGACCAAGTGTGAGTCTGTTGCAGTAACTGTGACGTGACCAAGTGTGAGCCTGTTGCAGTAACTGTGACATGACCAAGTGTGAGTCTGTTGCAGTAACTGTGACATGACCAAGTGTGAGTCTGTTGCAGTAACTGTGACGTGACCAAGTGTGAGCCTGTTGCAGTAACTGTGACATGACCAAGTGTGATCTGTTGCAGTAACTGTGACATGACCAAGTGTGAGTCTGTTGCAGTAACTGTGACGTGACCAAGTGTGAGCCTGTTGGCAGTAACTGTGACATGACCAAGTGTGGAGCCTGTTGCAGTAACTGTGACATGACCAAGTGTGAGTCTGTTGCAGTAACTGTGACGTGACCAAGTGTGAGCCTGTTGCAGTAACTGTGACATGACCAAGTGTGAGTCTGTGGTGCAGTAACTGTGACATGACCAAGTGTGAGCCTGTTGCAGTAACTGTGACAGACCAAGTGTGAGTCTGTTGCAGTAACTGTGACATGAACAAGTGTGAGTCTGTTGCAGTAACTGTGACATGAACCAAGTGTGAGTCTGTTGCAGTAACTGTGACATGGACCAAGTGTGAGGCTGTTGCAGTAACTGTGACATGACCAAGTGTGAGTCTGTTGCAGTAACTGTGACATGACCAAGTGTGAGTCTGTTGCAGTAACTGTGACATGACCAAGTGTGAGTCTGTTTGCAGTAACTGTGACATGACCAAGTGTGAGGCTGTTGCAGTAACTGTGACATGACCAAGGTGAGTCTGTTGCAGTAACTGTGACATGACCAAGTGTGAGTCTGTTGCAGTAACTGTGACATGACCAAGTGTGAGTCTGTTGCAGTAGTAACTGAAAAGACTTTCAGTTTTCATTTCAGTATCTCACAAATATTAGGAAATATGAATGTTTGTGTCAGCCTCTCACTTTATTGCATCTCTATAATCTCAGAATTATTGCATCCCTATAATCTCAGAATTATTGCATCCCTATAATCTCAGAATTCGAATCCTTGAAAATTTAATTCCCTTACCTTACTTTGCAATTCTTTACACGGATCTACCTAGGGAAATTTATTTGCTCTGCGTCTGTTTCTCCCACGTTTCTCTTTCCAACGACTTGTGTTTTATTTTCGCTCTAGATCAGTGCCAATCGCAGTATGATTCTCGTGCTATGTTCACTTACTGTGTTATCAGCGAGATAAAGTCGGTTTTACTTATCTGTGTAAATATCTAAACAAAGTTGAAACTTACTTAAGTTCATGCCCTCTGGCTCTAACTTGAGTATCTTGGATTGCACAATCTGCGAACATATAAAATAATATTAAAACAGATATTATCCCTAAATAACATTTGTCTGTCATATGTTTTAAGAGAATTCACAGACTACAGTGTTAGGATATTCGAAAATTGTAAACAACTGAGAGAATTATAGATTATTTGTGTTGCTTTGAGATGCCATGATAGTTACATGGCAAACATGATTCATTGTTAAGCTGTGGTAAGGGTTGAGGCAAACCCAGACAGAAACAGGAATTAGCCAGTATCATAGACACCCATTTAGAAAGTTTTGTTGATTCGGCTGAGCCAAGAAGAACTTATATAGATTTCTTAGCTGTGTGTTTTGGCGAGTTTCGAACCTATTGCAATATTTTCATATGCAAATAATGAAGAATAAACGTTCCATTATGCTGGCTCGAACAGTACGAAACTCTTAAGCATCATCAAGTTTTGAGATGATGATAATCTACGAAGGATTGAAACGTCTTCTTGTGACCATTTGCAATCATTTGGTTTACTTTTGAAGGGTTGTCAATACCACTGTTGCACACATCACCTCGTCATGAGAGTCTTAACAAATTATCTATCAGCAACAAAATTATTAACCAGGAACAGATAAGCCCTTACTACCTGTTCAACTTACCAGGAAAAACAAACATTAATTTAAGTACCTTGGATGAGAAACATAACAGTGGGTCGACAGTTACATCTCTCATCCAGGTGCCACACGTATATAACACAGTGGGGGTCTGAAATAATCTGAGGTAACATAACAGGTTTCAATCAGTATAATGAACGTTTAAGAACAGTCTTACCTCGCACACCCGGGAGTCGAGGTCATCCAAACACGTTGGTCGGCTACACAGGTCATGGAGGTAACTACAAGCCCCTTCACACATAAATTTACCCTGGTTACACCTGCCTTTATCGTCTTTCCAGAACTGCAAACACAAAATCACCAATAAACGAAATAACAAAATTATCATAATTAACGACATCAACAACAACAATAATAATTATAAAAATTATAATACTAATAAAAAATAAATCTGTTTCAGTAAAATAAGTATTCAAATCCTTGGAACTTATTCTCAATCAATCCATGTTGAATTATCTATCTAAAATTCGCACCTATACACTATACAATTATAGTGTATCATCCTTATTAAATGCATCAGCTTTATTGATTTGAAGCCGATCCCAAGAGTCATTCCTTAGTTACTGAATGTAAATCAATATTACGATTTATATTATATTTTCGGCAGATGGTGTCTCGTGCAGCCAAGTTACAAGTCGATCCTCGTGTTAACGATGACACAACAACAAGAAAAGTTTGAAGCTGAGCGGAAGAGTTATTCCTAGGTAATTCCAAGAATTCCAAGATTTTTCTATGTAAGCAGAGGGCAAACTTATTGCTACGTGAATGTTACCTGACCTGAAAGATGCGTCAGCCGGTAAAGATTAAACCTGTACAGAAGAGGTATACTGAAGTATACCTGATTTTACTAATTACATCACCGTGTAGAGTTTAGAGTCCGTGTGATAAAGTCTTATCACTCTGTACAGGAAGTAATAATGAAACTGAAGGGAGAAAAAATTGCATCCGCATGAAGGTATACCCTCGGGGATCCCTGGTAATAAAGGTATACAATCGGGAATAACTGGTAATAAAGGTATGTCCTCGGGGATCCCTGGTAATAAAGGTATACCCTCGGGGATCCCTGGTAATAAAGGTATACCCTCGGGGATCCCTGGTAATAAAGGTATACTATCGGGAATAACTGGTAATAAAGGTATGCCCTCGGGGATCCCTGGTAATAAAGGTATACTCTCGGGGATCCCTGGTAATAAAGGTATACCCTCGGGGATACCTGGTAATAAAGGTATACTCTCGGGGATCCCTGGTAATAAAGGTATACTATCGGGAATAACTGGTAATAAAGGTATGTCCTCGGGGATCCCTGGTAATGAAGGTATACCCTCGGGGATCTCTGGTAATAAAGGTATACTCTCGGGGATCCCTGGTAATAAAGGTATACAATCGGGGATAATTGGTAATGAAGGTATACCCTCGGGGATCTCTGGTAATAAAGGTATACCCTCGGGGATCCCTGGTAATAAAGGTATACCCTCGGGGATACCTGGTAATAAAGGCATCCCCTAGGCCTAGGGGATACCTGGCAATATAAGTATTCCCTCGCATTGTATATGCTCTGGAGCATTGTTATGCATGCTACTGCATCATTGTGAAGTTAGTTTGTATATAATGTGGGACTTCATATTGTAAGGAGAAAATGATCCATAATTATATAAATAACGCCATTGGTTTGGGTCAACAGGTATTAGTCACCTGCAGGTGTTCGTCTAATACGTGTCCGACTGGCCACGTCTAATACGTGTCCACCCAAAGCACTCACATTATTTATACATCTATGGAACACTTTTCCTTACAGTATAAATCACTTTCATTATATACATACCATCTTCAAATCAGTGCAGTAACCTGCGTAACAGACATACAAACCTCTCCATGCAGATAAATTTAGAGATGCACAACTCGTAGTGCGTATACACTGACATGTACAACTCTCAGCGCATGTAACCTTGAACGTGATACTAGAAGCATGGTGCAAGGCTTGCTGGTTGCCGGAGGTATTATTATTATTATAATCAAGGGGGAAGCGCTAAACCCGGAGGATTATACAGCGCATGGGGGGGGGAGTGGAAGGCATTCAGGGTTAATTCGGGGAACTGGAGCACAGATCCAATTCCCTTGCCGGAGGTAACCCGCCCTCTTTGAAGATATATTAACAATTTAGCACATAAACAGTCAAACCGTTACTAATCTGGCCTTAAGATGCATTAATTATTAAATACTGAGGCCATTCACAAGAGGTAGTTTATTTAATTAAGGTGATTTTACGGGAATGAAAATTTCACGCTATTTTAAACAGCCAGTTCTGTAGCTACACACTGGCATCTTACTATCCTCTGTTGTTGTATTAGACAGGCAGCTGTGTCTTAGATGTTGGAAGATTCATCACTGAGGCTTTTGGAAGTAATCCCGGCCAGGTACCTACTTACTGCAAGGTGAACAGGGATAGCAGGTGTAAGGTGACTAACACCCAGGTACCTACTTACTGCAAGGTGAACAGGGATAGCAGGTGTAAGGTGACTAACACCCAGGTACCTACTTACTGCTAAGTGAACAGGGACAGCAGGTGTGAGGTGACTAACATCCTCGTACCTACTTACTGCTAGGTAAATAGGGACAGCAGGTGTAAGGTGACTAACATCCTCGTACCTTCTTACTGCTAGGTAAACAGGGACAGCAGATGTAAGGTGACTAACACCCAAGTACCTACTTACTGCTAAGTGAACAGGACAGCAGGTGTAAGGTGACTAACACCCAGGTACCTACTTACTGCTAGGTGAACAGGGACAGCAGGTGTAAGGTGACTAGCACCCAGGTACCTACTTACTGCTAAGTGAACAGGGACAGCAGGTGTAAGGTGACTAGCACCCAGGTACCTACTTACTGCTAAGTGAACAGGGACAGCAGGTGTAAGGTGACTAACATCCTCGTACCTACTTATTGCTGATATTTTTAAGTACACATTAAATATTAATATTTTAAAACGTATCGGCTGGTATCGGTCCTTTCTTAAACTGATGTCGATACCATAAAACTGGCTGACACCCGCCGATACCGATACACTGGCACATCCCTAAAATTAACTACTGTTGTGTAAGAAATATGGTACCAGAAGACT